GAAGGGGGGGGTCGTCCCCGCCCCCCCGCACACACAGAGAGACACAGACACGCGTGCACCCGCACCCGCTCCCTCCCCGTCTCTGCGGGGCTGCTGGGCCACGGGAAATGGTTCCTTCTCCCTGGGCTCATCATTATTAATTAATACAGCCTGCCGCCCAGCCCTCCCCCCCCTAATTTTTTTTTTTTAAACTCCCTTTTTATTGTGTGCGAACTCAAAACTCCTGTTCGCATTGTACGGGCTTTTTTTTTTAAGATTGTTTAGTCTCTTAGATTCCTCGCACATTAAAATGATAGTACGCAGCGTCTGGATTAAAACAAATTGTCTAATTTGTCATTCCAGCTGACAGAAGGGAGGTGGTAGGATGTGCCCACAGTTTCTTAGATTATTTTGGTTTTAAAAGTAGGAATAAGTACGATTTGCAAGTTGAAGATCAGTTTACTAACTTCTGAGACTGAGAAAAGGAGAGCACAGAAGTAACAATTACTTGGGGTGCTGGTGGGTTTTAAGAACCCTTCCAGATCTTTTATATTTGTCTTGCTTTACTTTCTTACTTAAAACGTATTGTTTAATTGAGTAGTTTCTAATTGAGGCTTGCTCCATCAACATTTCAAGATGTAAACCGGGGGGGGGGGGGGGAAGAGAAGGTTTTGTTTCTCCACAAAAAATCACGCACATTGAGTCACCCGTCTTATTTATACTCAACAGTGTTGAACCCCCTCGCATTGTTTATTACAGAAAACAGGAGGACACCGCCGAGGGGAGGAAATGCTGCTTTTCGTACCACAACAAAGCGTGAGACACTGAAAACCAGCACCACAGCCTTAAACACAGACAAAACAAAGTCATCCAAACCAGTACTATACAAGAAAAACATTATTTAGACCAAACACTCAGCAGGAATAGTCCTCCACTTTTCCCACTGTGATACATTAGTCCCTTGGTTCAAAAAACTTTCTCAAGCCCTCTTACCCCCTTTTCTATAAACTTTGTTCCCATCTTCCAGCCCAACAGTAAATCCTTACAGGTATTTTGGAAACAAAATGTGTCACTTCCTCAAGAAAATCTCGAAAATCCCCCAACAGCTTTAAGAAGGACCAAATCTTCATAGCCTTTGGGTCCTTCTCCTGCAATAAAACGGAGGAACCTTGCCCTCCCCCGCCCCCTGCAAAAACGGGACAGACAGACATACGAAGCTTAAATGGCTTCGTTGAAGATTTTTTATTCACCTTTTCCTCTCCTCCTCTTCTCCTACACAGAATCAAAGTAAAAAAAACTGCTTTAAATCGATTTCTAGTTTTGAAGAATTTCTGAATACAGGATGGATGATTTTTTTCTTTATAAAAAAAAGTAGAAATAAGGATTGCTGGCTTAGTTCTCTAAAGGAGAAGAAAGAGGGGAAGAAAGTTCCCCCTAACTGCATCCTACTTTAAAATATCTATCCATACAGGAACTCATCACATTTTAATTTCCAATTCCCCTAAATCCAAAACCAGATTTTATTGTGGTGGATGAGGATTGTTTTGCATAAAAAGCTCAAAGCAATTAATACTATGCATGGGCATGACTGGGACTGAAATGAACAAATCCGCAAATGCACTCTTGGAACTCAAGTCCTTTATTGTTTTGGTTTTAATTGTATGTTTTTACCTATTAGAAAATGTATAGTTGTATTAGGGCTTGTTTTTTAAAAAAAAACTAAATAAAGCCAGGGACTCATCCTTTCAGGATGGGAAAATGCTTCCCCAGAGTGACAAGAGAGGGGGAAACATTCAGAACTTGCTTCCTGCTGCAGCTTGTATATGGAGAATGTTTTTCAGTAACGTGATCCTGTGTCTTCTGTGATATCCCCCAGAAAATAATAATAAATAGAGAGGAAATGCCACAGAACGCCAAATAATACAAAACGTATGAACTCTAAATCTAGACTTCATCACTCACCTCTCCCTCCCCTCCACCCCACTCGTGCGTGTGTGTCTGTACAGGAACATGCGTGTAATAGGCTGATGTGTTAAAACCCAGTAACTGCCTGCCTGAATCTGTGGACCAGCTCCTGCCTTTAGTCTGGTACAAGCTCTGCGCCTCAGCCCTTTTACCATGAGGTGTGCACGTCCCCCTAGCACCCAGGGAACCCACCAGTGAAGGGAGGGAGGAGAGGGAGAAAGGAAGAGTTACACTGGAAGCCGTATGAAAAATGAATAAATTTTTAAAATTCATTGGGGGGGAGGAAGAAAGACTCCAAGTGCAGGGGGGGATCTGAGAAACAAGGATGTTGCTCTGCCTTGCATTACCCAAGTAGAGACTTGCTACTCCTATCTCAAGTCTTTCAACCTCTTCCACAAACAGGAATTTAACTCCAGCCTGATGGCTGTTTCATGCCATTACTGTTTCATGGTCATTAGCGGATGCAGCAACACAATGTTTTAGACTTTGAGGTTTGGAGGGAAATTCGGTCTCAGAAATCCTAGTGGGAGATGTCAGCATCGGATTAAAGTGCCACAGAAGCTTTCCCGTCAGCTCCTGGAGGAGCCCCTGTTCTTCTTTCTCCTCACCCCTTCTTTACTATGTATTTACGTGTTACATACGGACACACGCTAGAGATTACACATACCCACATAGTCACGCACTGCCTTCACAGAACTTCCAGCACTGTTCCCAAGCCAACTTGGTGCTTCTTAACATCTTTAAGCTGCAGCAGAGAGCATGGCAAACTACGTGTTACTAGGATCGCCCTGCCTGGCAAGAACCTGGGGGTGCTGCTCTCTTCTGTGCCAGCCACGCACTCTGCTCCGAAGTTCCCAGAGTTTCGGCTTCCTTCCCCTCGCGGGCAGAGAAACCTCTGAACTTTAAAAGGCTTACTTTTAGCTTAAGGGACGACAACGCCTAGGAAGGAGCCACTACGAACAAACAGGTTTATGGAGACAGCTGCGGGGGGAGGCACGTTTTGTCCTCCAGAGTCTTCATTTCATGGCGAGCTGGTCACCGCGCCGGACGCGCAGTCCTAGCGCTGCCGCACGATTTACGGCGTATTATGTTAGAGCAAAATGTCACCACCTCGCTCTCCGCCCGACCCGGCTCCGCTCTAAAAGCCGCGGGCTCGCGTCCTGCCCAGCGAGGCCGGGGCCGGGGCCGGGGCCGGGGCCGGGGCCGGGCGGTCTGCCTGCCCTGCCCCCTCCCCGCCGCCC